TATAAGAACAATGGAAAGTATTAATATCACAACATTAAAAAATGAACTCTTATTTATAAGCTACAAGATTGTTTTTTTTTCACATTTACTACAAAATTCAGTTTACTATGGACAAATATTCAAATTGGTTTTCAGAAATGAAATAGTTTCAATCAGCTAACCCGTGGGTTGTGAATTCACTCCTCTGAGGCAAGACTTAATATGGAAATGTACAGGGAATTAAAGAAGGCACAAAGACATTTCTGTTTTTAAACAATTACTTTTCTTGGACCCAGCAAGCCTTGAGATGTTAATCTTTTCAGGATCACTTCGGGTTGTTACGACTTGAGAATTACAATAGAAAACACACAGAAACTATGAATCATCAAAATCATAGGAGGGATAGGAGTCTCCTCCTATCACTTCCTGCAGGTGTTCCTAGAGCTGTGGAGTCTGGATCTGTGATTGGGAGTTTCCTGCTGCTCCGTGTTCCTGCTCTGCTACTACTCTGCATAGTGTTATTTCTGTCATAACTCCTATCATTATCATTAGTATCAATATACATAAAATTGAATTGAATTTAACTTTCTTTGTAGCACCGTTTGTGCTACCGGACTTCAATTGCGACACAATCTTTTCCACGTACATCCTTGAGGATGGATTCGTCCATTTTCACTTCAGCTGCATTAACCAAACTCCCTAGCAAAAAGATAGTTAAAGTTCAATCATAAACCAGCTGCCAACAAATAATATCAAATACATTTTCTCTCTTTTACCAGACTGAACTGGTAGTTGGGTGACAAATTTAAAATCTAACCATTATTTGACAAATCAATTAATTGCCTATCATCACTTCAAGTTCATAATAATGCCTTTTATTATTATTGAGGCCCTACACATAGCCTTCATACATCTACTTCATAATGAAGGCTAGGGCTGGCACCAATTACACATGCATTTTTTTTAAATCAACAAATGTATTACTTTAGCTTTTGATTATAAGCCACAAACAAAGATGCTGTCTGCAAATTATCTAATCACCACTATTTATAGTTTCTGCTTGGACCAATTTACCTTTCTTTGTCTTGTGTCCCTCCGCCAACGTGCGGTCAATTCCGTCCATACACTTACGGGAAAACACGACCAGCTTCTTCCACGAACAACTGTTAGTGGCTGTGTCCGTTCTTTTTCTACCGATTATATGTGTGTGATGCATATATAATCCTCATTTTTCTTGCGTTTTTTGTCTGATCAACGGGAAAACGCTGCTCCACGGGAGCAGCCATGTTTGTTGTTGTTCTTCTGTTCTCGCATCTGAATGGGAGAGCGCACCTGAAGGACGCGCTCTGATTGGCTAACGGCTAGGCGGCTTGATTCGCGCGTACTTTACCGGTGTGATCAGGCTACCGATATAGTTACATTTTTAAGTAATTATTGTAAAAATACTGGCGCAAAGCGATTGGAGAACTTTTGGTTATGAGCTCAAAATGCCCTAAGGATTTTTTTGCAGGTGTCATTTAGTAGTCCCTCAATAAGTGGAGCGAAACTTAACGATACAGGCTTCAGCCTATGGCCTAAATGTGCTCCAGTGATAAGGACCGGATGAGGGGACAGAAGATACGGCACAATGCAGTGGCACATCTCCCGGCACAAGCTGTTTCACTGTGCAGTAGCCTGCGTTATATAATTCTGATGGGGCTTTCTGGCGCCTTGCACTCCACCCACTGAAGGTGTGAACACATACGGCTACTTCCCTTGCTGTGCCGGACCGTACGCTGACATATGGGCCCAAACAAACAGTTTTACAAGCATGTTCTGCAAATCCTAATCGGTCAACAGCGGCCGACCTTATTTTTGTTCAAAACGTGGGGAAAACATGTCACTCCCGCTCACTGATATTGGGATAAGGACGCTGGCTGGTGTGTGTACCAGTGTCCAGCAGCCTCCAACTCTTCACCCGCACCCTGCCTCTTCCCCGTGAAAGAGCTGCCATCTGTCAGTACTGGAAAGTCACGGTGGCTTGCAGCAGGTTTTTCCAAAGCTACATACATGGCTGCCTCTCCCTGTCAGAGACTCCTCTGTGCATGAACCTTTCAGTCGTAACCAGCCACTGGGCAGGAAAACGGTGCGAGTCAAGCCAAAGCCTCATTGATAGCTATGAAAAAGCTTTCTTAGTAATGTTATTGACCCGGGATATAATTAGCCGGTGGGTCAAACTTTGCCAGAAAAGAACACAGTGAAGTTAAGAAAGCATGACATCACTTCGGTATAATTGAATGTTGTTTACCTAAGTGCTTTTTAATTGCCTGATTCAGCCCTGAATCTCTCTTGCAACTCTATGCCGCAACTGAGAACAGCGTTGGCAATGCCTCGTCATTAGTTATTCATTTGGCTGGCCAAATTTGGTTCATACATTCCCTCCTCCTTTCTCGCTAACTCTGAATGCAACTAAAAAGTCAATCTTCAGATAAAATCTGTGAGAAGCAATGACTGTTGACTGTTGAAAGAAAAGAGGCTTTTAGGGAAAAAAGGATGAAGTAAACAGAAGTCCAAGAGCACACAGACAGTTCTTTTTTCATACAATATGCAACTCATTACGATTTATATCCTGAACTGCACAAGTGAGGGCCCAAAAATAATTTCCTGTAACGGCGAGAGGCTAAATAAAAAACATGCCTCATTCACCTCTAGAATCTTATCTTTCAAGCCCTTCATCCTCATAAATCTTGTGAGGGGTTCATAAATCAAGTGCATATCCACCTAACAGGGACATGATAATGATAACAACGTATGATTAAAAAAAAAAACCTTGTTCGCTTCATCTCCAGAGAACTTAATTAAATAAACCCATCTGGTTCAAGACTTGAGAGACATGCCTCGGCAATGTCATTTCAGTCTGGTCAAAAATGGGCAAAAGCAAAGAGAAAAAGCAGAGGAGGGAAAATAAAAGGCTGGAGCTGAAATATCCTACTGAAACGCCTGCTGGCATGGCTTCAGGGTCACACACCAGCTGTGACAGCAACCTCCAGGAGTCTTTGTTCTTGACCGAGAGGGTGGATGAAGTGGTACTAGAACAGCTTGGGATCTAAACTGTAGCAGTTGTTAAGTTTTACCACACAGTGGACGGCTGTGATTTCAGCCCTACTTCCCCCCTTGTCAGTGATTCATCCGTCTGCAACATATAAACTGCTTTTTAACTGGCCTAATATTTAACCGGAACTCATGAGAAATGTTCTCTATCAAAGGAGAGGTTGGTCTTGAGCACTGTTCCTCAAACAGAGGTTGGTTTTCATTCAAAGCATCGAATAGGAAAAAGGTGGAAACTTTCCAATTTGAGCGTCAAATTTTTTTTGTTTAATTTTTAAGCCTATTTATACTTCAAAAAAGAGAAGTTCATCCAAAATAGCAAACAAACATTTTTAGGTCAATTGCATCATTTGAACTACTTGGTACCTTTATGATTTTTAGCAGGAACACAATGTCTTTCTTTCTTTTCCCCTCTGAAAGAAGGTGTGAAAGTGGATTTATGGACAATCCTTAATATGAGACATATATGTAACAAACACAAACAACATGAATGGATCAGTCAAAGCATTTAAATCTAAGACATTGACAGATTAGGCGGATCTTTGATATTCTTGCATCCGACTATGATAAAACGATGGGAGGGACGGCATTTCATCTCCACAATCCCCAAGAAGAACCTAAAGACAACAAAGAGAGTATGACCCAAACAGCAGCTCTCAGGTCTCAAAGGATGCTCTGCCTATGTCCTTGTGCCAGACATTACAACATCCCCTCAGAGATTCTCTTTCCCTCAGGATAGTGCTGTTTTTCAGGGCATAAAGGCACAATATGATGTTAACCAAACACTTTTAACCAATATATTTAACATGCAAATGCTATCCGGAAAATGTTGTGCTTTAAAGCTTCTGACTAGAGTACTAATAATGCTTACGTGGTGTTTGTATTTCAAGAAAAGGCATTGAAATATGGAATTGTGTATGCTTTAATTGATATCAATCTTTATCTTTAATCTATGTTTTTGGTTTCTTTTACAATTTAACAAAAAAATCAAATATTTTCCTTTGGATTTATCAAATAGCTTTCGGAAATAGGACATTTGCTCATAATTACAGTCAGGGAGAAAACCCATAGTCATGCAACTTCGCCACCTCTCTCCAACCTTAAACAGATCAATACCTGATCAAGGTTTAAAGTAAATGTCAATGAGCAGACAAAGACAAATAAAACATTTGGGTTTGGAGATATGCTGTGTTTAACATTGGTTGTTAATTGCCATCTAGTGGCCAATGCTAAACTTGCAGGTTGCAGAATTGGTTTAATGAGGATTTTGAACATCGGAATTTTAATCCAGAATTGATATAATTAACCATGCGAATAGAATTAATGGTGCTCATTACTCAAAATAGATTTTTAATATGCCAGGCTTAAGCGCTGTCACCTGGAGATCATTGGCCTTGCTCTCTATGGCTGGTTTTATATAGCTCGGTTAAGCCTTTCTGACTTTTTAGACATGATCTACAAACGTTATATGACTAAAACCAAGCTTATAATGTATCTGGTGTCCAAAAGCAGATTAAATAGCCATATTTTATGGTATCTCAGCAGCGTCAGCTGATCACTTCATCTCATGAACGTATTTTAATTTCACCCAATATGTTCACAGCTCAGATCATAAAAATGCAGTTTTAGGACAATATTAGTTGAGTATAACTCAAGATGTTTATGCTGCACACGTTTTTGCAAAGATGAGTTGTCCTTTGTCAATGTTCCATTTATGTTTTTTCAAAATATCTTACACCTGTGTTCCCATTACATCAAATGTTTCATACAAATAAGAGTTAACTTAGGGTTATGCACCACTGCACAACGTGCTTGCCAAATGCATACTTGCCCAGTGTTTGACCATTTTAACGCAGAAAACCGTTGCAAATATTATTTTATAGGCACTCCTGGAAATGGAATTGCAGATTTACGAGCACCCAGACAGTACATGAAAGCAGCAGTGGTGGGAGGAATTGACTAGTTAACTGCTACTACATGAACACTGTGAGCACACCTCCGTGTCAGCCATCAGGCACGAAAATGTCGGGGAAAAGTTTTCGAGTCAGCGATGGAGATTGGATTTGTCCAGATAAAAAGTAAGGTCTTACGTATGATACAATCTGCATCGTTCGATTTGAGGGCTAAATGCAACCTCATGCCCGAGCTTCATTTGCTAGCAAAGCTAAGTGAATGACAGTAGCTAGCTTAGGCCTCCTGCCATTCTGCCAATGCTAATGCTAACCAATAAAGAAAAGAAAGAAAGGTAAACATTTTCTCCAGACTTTCGTTTCGAATCTTTAAGATTGATACAATGAAACGGCTCTCTACTTAAAAATATGAACATATTTACATTTGCTTGTTCGGTTAGGGGTTTTGACAGAGGTGCTACCCTTTAAGTTAGCATATTAGCATTCGGCTGCTCGTGTGGGTTGGAGAAAGAGTCTCCACTCACGACTGTGGGGGGTGTTTACAATGTTGTCGTCCCTGAAGAGTCCTTATTCAGTAACAGCTGTGTTGCGTCCCTTTTTAACTTCCTAAGCAAGTGCAAATGTTGGACGGAGGTCTTTTGAAACTGTGTTTGAAGAGGACTCGCAGCCTTGCTAGCTAATGTTGCGGCACATGGAGAGGGGGATCTCTCTGACGACTAAATTCATGCTCGCATTTTATACTTATTCATTGTGTTTTTTGTTGTTTTTTTAGGTGTGGAAATGTGAATTTTGCTAGAAGAACAAGTTGCAACAGATGTGGCAGAGGTAAACATTCGTTTATGCTTTGGGCCTTGTTTAACTTGCCTTGTGGACATTTCATGCTAAAAACTGTTATTGTTTCCACAGAGAAAACAACAGAGGCAAAGATGATGAAAGCAGGAGGAACAGAAATCGGGAAAACTCTTGCTGAGAAGAGTAGAGGCCTCTTCAGTGCCAACGATTGGCAGTGCAAAACGTACTTATTGACATTTTGTTGGATATTGTTGCAGCAGAGACTTTTGTCTCCAGCTAGCTCCTCGCTATTTTAGTTTTTGGCTAACTACATTTCTCCTACAAACAGTTTCATTATTTATCTCCCTGCTTTGTTAAAGATGTGGCAATGTGAACTGGGCCAGACGATCAGAGTGCAACATGTGCAATACTCCTAAATATGCCAAGCTTGAGGAGAGAACAGGTAAGCCATAAACCCTTTTGGAAAAAAATAATCTTGCTCATTATTGTCCATGTCCACCGTCTCACTTCTTTTCCCGTGATGCTGAAGGTTATGGTGGAGGCTTCAACGAAAGGGAAAATGTGGAGTACATTGAAAGGGAGGAATCTGATGGTGAATATGATGAGGTGGGTACTTGTCTGGCAGACCGGTGTAGTTAGACGACCAAAGGGTTTAATCAGTCATGTGTGCTTGTTTTTTTTTCCTCCACAGTTTGGTAGGAAAAAGAAAAAGTTCCGTGGTAAGAGCAATAGCACATCTTCCTCTAAAGAAGTCGAAAAAAAGCCAGTACCAAAAGAAGAAGAGGAGGAGGAGGAAGAGGAAGAAGAGGGTGATGTGTCAAAATACAAATTGGATGTAAGCAGAGCGGCTGAATGTGTGAATTCAGATTTATTCTAGTGGCAATCAGACCAGTGTTTAAAGACCACCTGTACCTAGGACGATGACGAGGATGAAGAAGAGGACGAAGATGGGGATCTGTCTAAATACGAGCTGGTTGCCAGTGATGACGAGGAAAACCCAGCTAAGAAAAAGGGCAGCCGCTCGGGCTCGTCCGGCTCCTCCTCGCGCTCCTCCAGCTCCAGTTCTCGGTCGAGGTCCAGGTAAAAGGGTACAGGTCAAGGGTAACTCCGGGCAAAATGTCAGTATCAGCTCAATCTTTCTTCCGATTTGATGATCAGTATCTATTCTATTTCCTGCTGTACCCATTTGTTGTTGTTGTTTTTTTTGCCTCATTTTGTGACGCCTCCCTGTTTGCACTGTTAGAGTCCTGATGTGTAGATTCACTGCTCTATTATTGGGATTCAATGACTTTTTGACTAAAAATTGATTAACTGTTTAGCCTTTTTTTCCGCTGTTGTTTTGTCTTCAAGAAATCCCAGAATTGTTTTTTTGCCCTCAGTGTCTCAGTTTTTGCTTAGTTGCTTTGTCTTTGCCTTCGGATATCACCTCCAGTCGTAGAGAAGCAACTCGCTTTCAAATTGATCTCCAGTTAAACATTGCTCCAGCTGTTTTTAACATAGTGGTCTCTCTGTGTTGGGAAAATATTGGAAAGGTTTCTATTTTTTTGTTTTCCAGGTCCCGCTCTAGAAGCTCTTCCAGCTCCAGATCTGGATCTGGCTCGAGGTCTCACTCCAGGTGAATGAGGTGGCATGCACTCTCCTGCTTGAGAGAGTGTATGCAAGGGGCAGAAAGCTCCACAGCAGTCCTACTTCGCATATTTAGCAGAGACTTCATAGTTTGTTTTTTCTTATCGTCGCAGGTTTCATTTAGGTCTGATAACTTAAACGGTTCAAGTCTGGCTAGCTTAATTGAGCTTCTGCTACTGCGCTCAGGCCTCCAGACTGACATCTGGGGTATTTATCACGCCTCTCTCCGGAGTGTTACCCTCCTAATCAATTCTATTGAAGAGCAGCTAAACGTCTTCTAAATTTAAAGCCACTTTGAGGACAGTTAATCAGCAATCAGCGCAGCATCTTAGCTCAAACGCGCTCAGCACCGTTCCTTCTGAAGCAGAGAAGCCTGATAAACACCCACACTAATGAGACTCCGATTAGGCTTAACTGACTTCACTGCTTGATTTATTCCCCCAAAAGATCCAGCTCCAGGTCTGGAAAGGGCTCCTCTCCCCGGAAGAGGTCCCGCTCGCCCTCCTCCTCACCTGAGAGGGGACAGAAGCGCAGTCGCTCCAGGTCCTCATCTGGAGGGAGAAAGCGGAGGCGCTCTAGATCCCGTTCGTCCGAAAGGTTTGGGTTTCCGTGGAATACCGCAATGGCACTGATTATGAAAAAAAAAAGCCATCTGTTGGCTGGCTTTTGGGAATTCAGATTCACATATTGATGCTCACTCTAACATCTGGTGACCTTGCTTCATGAATACCCATGTGCCCTCCGGAGAGCCTGCTGACCATGTCACTCTTCCCATGATGTTTGTGTCATTCCAGGTCAGACCACTCGTCTGGATCCTCCCATTCTGGCTCCAGCTCTAAAAAGAAGTAACTTTCTTACGGCCTTTAAACCACGAAAAGGAATCTTAGCGGAATTGCATGTTATGTTGCAAAGAAAACAACCACACCCCCTCCGTATGCAGTTCATTGTTATTTAGTCCTCCAAGTCTTACTTCTCAAGAGAAACAGGCGCCTTGACTTCTCCCTATCTCTACCAACATGCTCCCTTTTTTTTTTAAAAGCCATTTACATCAAATGTTGTAACGATAGGTGTCCAATAAATATATATGTTTGGTCCGAAAAAAGAAAAACAGATGTACTGTGTAGAAGGTGTATTCCATTGGAAACCTATTTTGCTTTGAGAAGTTCACAAAAAAAAACTTCTTCACATCTGTTGTTTGAGCAAAATCTATTTTTTTATTTTATATTTGTTTTAAATAGAAATTGAGTTAATTAAAAATAGCAGAGATGTAGCCATCAATTTTGGCCGTTTCCTAAATTTTTTTTTTTTGTTTTTTCTGTTTTCAAGGTAAGTATTTTACTTTTTGCTTCTTTTAGTTGAATGGCAACAACATTGATTCGTATTAGATTTCCAAGTGTTCTTCATTCGTAACACACTTGTTGCCTATTTAACACATTTGTACTAAACTATTCTGTTGGGAAACCATGAGCTCAACTTTTTTCTTCTTAAGTTTTGTGATCCACTTCAATTTGACAAGAACAGCTGAACCCTAGGGTAAAATGTGGCCGTGCAGTCTTTTATTGGTAAATCAACTCAAATGTACACATGTAAATAAAGTGCTGTCAACATTGCTTGTTGGTAATACTGTGTTTAATTTTCTTATTGGGGCATTTATATTTATTCTGACCAGTTACTTTGTGTTGGTTTTGTACTAAAAGATAGGACATTGTGTGAAAATCTGAGGCTGTTGGGGGGATGCTTTAATACATATATCCAGTTATAGATGAGTCTGTTCTGGATGGAGTCGGTAGGCAAATGGTTCCAATATGTTTTAAGTAAACTGATATTTTTTAAAAATTTAATTAAAGCAAATTCCTTATCGAAGTTTACTGTATGCAGTTCTTACCCCAAGACTTTCCTAATGAATTAATCCACAAATATGCTGAAATAACTAACTTATTTCATGGCCGTTAACAGTATTCTTGTGCATGAAGAACATCCCTCATGTTCAATCTTTGACAATTTAGCTTCTGCTTATGTTGAGGATTGTTTTGCTCAAATGTTTCAAATTCATTGCCTGGTTTGTTTGAGAAACTTTTATAAGCATCCAAGCGATGTATGTTCTGTTTGAATGTGCTTGTGATAGAAACTATATTGACTGAATGCAACAAGCCTACAGTCAATTTCCTGCATTCAAGCTGCCAAAGTTGAGCCAAATTAAGCTAATATAACAAATCTTTTTTTGTTGTTTAGTTGTGAAATGCATACGACACTGTGATGCTGTAATTCACATTGTGGTCAATAGGGGGCAGCTGTTGCGCAGGACTGCCGGCTGTGGCTAAATAAAATGTTTCCTGCCTGAGTGCAGGCTACTTCCAATCAGAGAAATCTATGTAACCATGATGGTTGATAAGTTTACCTACAGTTTACTTTTCAGGAAAAACAAGTTTTGCGCAAAGTCTATTTTTAGTTACTACATTGTGGAAAAGCAGCATAAAAAATTATGTTTAAATGGTTTGTCTCTATTTCTATGGAATTTGTCCCCTAAAAACAGTACAAAATATGTCCAAATTTCAGCCTCAATTAGAAAAATAAAGTGTTTGTGCTTTGTTTGAGGCTGCAAAAGTTGCTGCAAAAAACAACACTATAAGGAAACATTTCATTAACATGACCAAGACTCCTTAGCAGACCACCTAAGATATTAATTTAAATGCTGATGGAAGAAAGGCTCTTACATTGATGCTCTAATATAATGAAAAGTCTTTAGTTAGCTAATCAAATTAATATATTACTGCACTTTTTGTCATGCTTTCAGAGCAGTGTTGTAAGTTGGAGTATACATTCCTTCTTAAAAAACATAATCAACAATTAACTTCATTGTAACCACGTTTATCATAGCAACAAACATTTAAAAAGGTGTGAAAACATTCTGAGAAAAGCTCAAAATGAGACAATTACCCAGTAACCAGAGACTGTCCTAATATGGCATAGATATCTTTTCCTGCTCTGTTGTGCTACGGCTTTAATATTTTCAGACAATTTTTTATTTCTTTCTCCGTTTAAAATGTCCACATGAGGTTAGTTTGTTCCCAAACTAGTCATTAATCACTGCCTCATGCGTTGAACAATCTTCATCAATCGTCATGCTGTTTCTGGAGAGGTGCTTGGATATAGTTTCATTCACACTTATCTGTCTTTAAATGAATGCAATTGCAAACTAACCGAAAATGAACAAATACTGAATTGTGCATTTCATGGTGTCTTCATTTAGTTGATTTGAATAAGCAGTCAGTGGTTCGGTCAGTAGTCCCGCCTACAGATCGTAAAAAGGCTTGACGCGCTTTTACGCACCGCATTCTTGGAGAAGCTGGGAGCGCAAGATGATGCTCGAGAGGGATATTCGCTGTTTATGAGCTCACATCTTCTGACACAATGGCCATTGACCGGTGTGATCCTCTTGGGAACCTCAAAACCTCTAAAACATTCGAAGAGATGGTGGGCTCCAACATTTCCAAGACGTTGCGCGAAAGCAATGAAACCAAGAATTCCAGTTGCGCAACCGTGTCCGTTGGATTCCCAATAACCATGATGGTCACTGGCATGGTTGGAAACTCTTTAGCTCTTATTCTGGTGTACATCTCTTACAGGAAAAAGGAGAACAGAAGGAAAAAATCTTTCTTGCTTTGCATTGGATCACTGGCGTTGACTGACCTGTTCGGGCAGCTTATGACAAGTCCAGTTGTGATATCTGTCTACAGAGCTGGTCTGAAATGGGAGCTTATCGATCCGTCTGATAAGCTATGCGCCTATTTTGGCGTGTGCATGACAACTTTTGGCCTGTGCGCGCTCTTCTTGGCCAGCGCGATGGCGATGGAAAGGGCACTGGCGATCACAAATCCTCACTGGTACTCCAATCACATGAGGACAAGTGTGACCAAGCAGACTTTGGCTGTCATATGGTGCCTCGTGTTGCTGTTTGCCCTGCTGCCCATCGCAGGGGTCGGCAAATACACGCGCCAGTGGCCAGGCACCTGGTGCTTCATCAGCACGGGGGACAGCGATGTCCCGGGCAACACGTTTTTCGCCATCACTTTCGCCGTCCTGGGGATTTTCTCTCTGCTCGTGACACTGTCGTGCAACGTCATGACTATCCGGGGTTTAATTATTCGGTGCAAAACAAAGTCTGGGACGTCTCAGTCTTCGAAACAGTGGGAACGTCTCACCACGGAGACCGTCATACAGCTGTTGGGGATTATGTGCGTCCTGCTAATATGCTGGTCTCCTCTCCTGGTAGGTTTTGTGTGAGTGTGTGTGTTTGTGAGTTTGTGTGAGTTTAGCCTATACTTTGCAATGTTTGAATGATGAATAATTCATACAGTGATAGCTCTTGGATTGATATGGATTTATGAGATTAAAGTAGAAGATCTGAAGAACCAGGTCCAAAACATCCTGCAAAAAGATCAAGAGCTCTGCTTCTCTGGAGATGTTCTATCTCTTGCTTTCAGACCAGTGAATGAAACCCTGCAACATCGAATACCCTTTCATGTTCTCACATCTGTCAGTTTATTTGTCCACGGAAAGAGGCAGACATCATTATATCCTGTGAGATCCTTTCCAAACGCTGCAGCCATTCGGCCTTCAGGAGTAATCCACTTAGGAGTCCTGTTGCAGGTTCAGCTCCGTGCACTATGAGGTCAAACGCCGTCAGCCACACGTTTAATAGTTCCATCAAGAATATTGATAAAAACCACAGCCCTGCGTCAGATAATGAATGCACAGGGTGTGAAAGTTGTTGGTGTTGCGTTGCATAATGTGTCAATGTTAAAGGTGATGGCTTCGCAAATAACACAAGATCTGTCCCCAACACAGGTGCTGATGCTGAGAATGATCTCCACTAAAGTGTCATCCCATGACTGCAATTCATCATCGCTGAAGTCCAACCACGCGTCCGGCCAGGAGCTGGACTGCAACTTCTTTCTGACAGCGATTCGTCTGGCCTCGCTCAACCAGATCCTGGACCCCTGGGTCTACCTTCTCCTGCGCGAGATCCTCCTGCGCAAGTTCTGCATCATGGCCAACGCCGTGTCCAACTGCTCGATGGAGGATCAGAAGGAGACTCAAACAGCACTGGATGCCCTGAACAAGCCCAACCAGGACAGCAACAGCCTTTGTAAATCACAGACCAACAAAGCCGACGTTTGACAGTAATTTCTGTTTTACGACTGTCAGTCTGGATATGCTTTCAAAGATCTAAAGCTGCCTGGAAGGGAAAACAGGAATGGTAAACAAAGAAGCGGATTACCGTTCTCACAAAGGTTTTTGGTTCATGTGGTCCGAGTCCACTTAAAGATTTGAAAGCTTCGAGACTTTATTTACCATCTCCACTGGTACAGATATGCAGGTGCATTTGAATACACACATGAGCATTTCTGTGGCTAACAAGCACATTCTGTTGAAAGTCACCTGACCAGCATGTGGATGCATGACCGCCGTCATGTCCTGCCTTTGGCTGCTGTGCGGCCAACACGAACCCTGTCATCGTCAGTTTTTCGTAATGTTGTAGAACCAAGACCTGAATGTAGGTGACTTCGTCCTGACACGCCATTTGAAGCCATAAGTTAACAAGACTTCTTTTGTAAATGTTTGTGAATGGAGAAAAAAAAAAAAGAAAATGAAAATGTGTTCAGAAAAAATATATCGTCGTATCAGACATAAAACAGAGCATTTTGTGAAAAAGAAAAACGAGACAGAATATGTTTTTAAAAAAAGCAAAACTGGAGCCAGTCTTTTGATTATAAAGGTATTAATGTATGTAAAATATTTTTTGTTGCCTTTGTGCTGAATCCTGATTATGCTACCTGCTGATTATGACTTGATGTAAACTTAATATATGGCCTATTGCATGTTGTGCACATTAGCTGGCAACTAGGACCATAAAATGAGAATGTTTCTCTTTATTGCCAATTTTCATCTGGAACATGAAACACAGGGAAATTGTTGTGTCTATTTTTTCAGTATTTCCTTACCATCAAACCAAGAAAGTCACTCTTGTTTGGGTGTGAATGGGTAGTCTAATTTCACTAGCTAAATCACAATGATTACCACAGACATATAAGATACTTTGGGGGGGGGAGCAAATAAACTAAACTTTTAGGAATGGGTCTAGTTTGAATATTCACAACAGAGGCAGCACATAAGGATAAACCATTTTTAGTTCCATTTAAAGTTTAAGTTAAAGTTTTGACGTTGTGAATTTAAACGCAAATAGCACAAAATATGCATAAGCAAAACTGTGGAATGTGTTTCAGCTGCCTTTATTTTTACTTCTACACAGTACCATGACACTTTTGTTTACCTTGATGCTTTTGAGTTTGGGCATTCTTTTTTTTTGCAGTGTCAGTTAATATCAGTCCTTGTAACTCTAGTCCTTTTCTAAATACGTTCAATTATTCATAGCCTTTAACACACAAAGTGCCATTTGTCAGAGTTCTCAGAAGAAAAATCAATCTAGTTCCTAATGAGATGGCGTACTCTTTATGCCAACACTGTAAATGTGAGAGGAACAGATGATTTCGGGAGATGTCCCATTTAGTTCACAGTGGTTTGAGTCTGATCTTTTTATGTCAAGTTTGTCATATGGAGCGTCATCTGACAATTGTGTAAATATGTCATCAAGGCTGGTAAAAGACCCCTCAATGCGCTGTCATGGTAACCCTAAGGACAAACCTGCCTCACAGCCAACCTACAACGCTGCCTTCTCAGCACGTGGTCCAACAAAATTAGGCTAATGTGCACCCTCTGCTGTGCCTCGTCCTTCCTTTGCCTTTCAATTGTCAGAAGGCTCAGTGATAATGATCCTCCTGGTAATTGTTATCTTCGGGAGCCACGTGAAAGATGAGCTTTTTCTGTTGCTATGTATTTGTTCATCTGCCTGCAAAAACATAGTGGTGTAGAGTTTATCTTGTGTTGGTTGTGAAAACACTCATCTTCAGTGGCTCATGAAATGCATTAACCTGGTTTAATGAGAAAAAAGAAAGTCATGAGCAGTTTTTACTTGATTGAATTATGATTGTAATTGAGCTTGTGGTTGTGCATTAAAAAAACATTTATCCCAAGCATATGTTCACCTTGTTCGGCGGTTAATATCCATTTAATTAGTCAACTCTTTTTTTTTTTTCAATTTTGCATTTGAAATAATGAATATTAACTCACAAGCTGCTGCAGGATATGTCAAAGTCTGCTTCCTCTCAAATCTGCATCATGTAATTATGATGAAGGTCCCTGCCCATCAACAGAGCAAAAATAATTACACCAAGGAAATAAGCTTAAAGCTGACTGGCCCAGCAATTTCCCAGAGCCAAACATCCAACCTCAAACCCCTTAGTGGAGAGGAAAATGGAAGAACAGTTCAGATAATATATATTCTTAATGGATCCGTTAAAAGCCAGCAAAAAATGTTTACAGGCAGCATTTCCTGTTACTATTCAGCAACGTTTGGCTTATGAATTATGTATTATTCATTGATCCAAGGGCACAACAGAGTATTAGAATTAGATGAAGATATCAGGAAATCATTCTATCGATTCTCAAGTGGCAAACTTCTATGGCATTAATTGTTCATTGTTAGTTTCATTAAGAAGTGTGTATTAAGAACTGCATATCAATGTCAAATAAACACACGAGTCTCATTTAGAAAACTCGGTGAAACTCAAACTCATATTGTTTAAACTATTTAGTTTGGCTGGCTCATGTACTGAATGGGGTTGATTTGTGTCTGTACCTGGTCAAATCAGCAGAGAATTACACACAAGAGACCTGCCCTGGCGTTGCTGGAAGAGTGCGGTTGCATAATGACTTCATGAGGCGCGCAGAATCCAGAAAGGCTTGTTGGCTCCCTTTCACTCACCCAAGTCACTAATACATGGAAGTGATTTACTGATTTCATCACGAGCATGATGTCTTGAAGATCTCCAGATAGGAAACAGAGAATGTCTCTGGGCTTTGCTTGATCGACACTTAGTATCTGACCATGAGAAAAGTTTTTATCGCTTCTTATGACACTAATTTTAGAAATGAACTTCCTGGGTAATACCTAAATATATTACTCTTTAATCACCTCTGTGAAAATGATCATGTTGACTTCTGTCAGTCTAAAGGATCCAGATTCCAGGTGTTCTGAACATTTTTCTCTGTTGTTAGAAAAGAAATGTTAGACCAGATACAGTCAGAACATGTGCTTTGAGATTGTTGTACTTTCCAAAAGCAATCAGGTTTCATTTCAGAAAGAAACAAGATAAGATCTCCCCAGTTTTGGTTTTTGACACAATCTGTTTGACACAAACAGATAAGTGAGGCACAGCCATGTCTTAAGCATCAGCAATGGGAAAACTTACCCTAGTTATTTTGTTTAAATACTAACTTTTTACTGCTGATGTCCTGGTCAGAAACACACACACACAAAACAACATATAGTGTATTCACTGTTAGGTAGTAGAGGCATGTGATGAAAAGTACTACTGAAGACTGTGGAAAGCTCATATGTTTGTGTCACATGTGCCCACAGAAACAGGTTTGGCCCACCAGCCAACGTTCCATTGCCACGAGTAGATAGTTGCATCACCTGAACTTTTGTTCATTTGAATTTGATGCTTTTGAATGTGAAACAGTACATTTCACTTACAGATTTAAGTTTCATGAAATTCTGAAGAAACTCTGGGACACGATTCTCAGAAGAGAGCGACTGATACAGTCTTGATGAAGCCCGTACGCTTGTTGCTTTCTCCCTGGATTCAACGGAGGAATGTCGGAAATGTTGTAACCTTTTGTATTTAGTTCTTCAAATATTTGACATAGTTGCTGTAGATAGGCTTATGTAACAAGCATAGTGTCCTTTTGGTACATCATGTCTTTGTTCCTTACTTGACTCATGTCATATTGTCAGACATTCTGCGGTTGTGTTGTTGGCTTATGTGGATGCGTAATGTTGTAATTCCATTAAAGTGAGTAAAGATACTCTCAGTAGACTCTTGCTACTGCTTTGCTACTTTGATGTTAAATATTGTTAAATAATAATGATTGTTACTATTTCTAGTCAGATGAGCATGAAATGATTTGAAGAAACACAAAGAGAACAGGACATCCTGTTTTAGAACTACAATGTAACCTTCATTTTAAGGGGAATCTTTTTGGATGTGAATTCTACTGTTTGCAAAGTGGCAAACTGTAATACATGTGTAATACAGCAATCAAAAGAGAACAAAGATCATTTAATAGAACTGCTCAAAACGTATTACATGAAAACCAACTAAACTAACAGTTTTGGCGGGCCATATTCAAACTAATAGACAGAAAAAATATCTTTCCAAATGTTTCCAGTGTGTCCAACACCTTGTAAAAATAGTCAGTAAACGTCTGTTTTCTGAGTTTCCTGTGGGCCAATAAAAAAATGACTGTAGAAACTTAATTTGTTTCTGTGAATTAAAAAAGAAAGAATGCTCAATAAATACTAAGCATAGAACAGTAAATGTGCAATTAAACCTTAATCTAACAACAACAAAAAACAGGAGAATGCAACAAAAGCTAACATCAGAAAGCCCCAACCACGATGTCAGCAATAGCATCACACAGTCACTGCAGTTCTATTGATGACACTTTAATTCATTTCAATTAGATTCAAAAGCATCTAATTGTGAAGGCTAATTGTTTCAGAAACTAATCTGAGATTTTACGTTTATTTGGCAGTTTAGAGTTAGGGTTAAAAATTTTTTACCGAAAGTAGCCATTAGAAGATGACAACACTATAGCTGTGTCATGATATACTAACAATGCTGTGGTTGCTATGGGGTTTAAAATACATACAGCTGGTACCAAGAGACTCAAGAGGGACATTAATCATCCAACTTCTAAAAATATGTCACTGCATCTTCAGCAACGAGCAGAAACGTTGATTCTCAATCTATTTCTCACTAATTCTAACTTCATGATGTGAGTGTTGCTGCAGAAATCGGGACACCTCTGAGCTTCCCATTTGCTCTAAGCTAGTTTTCCATCTCAGCTGAAAGGAGTGACACCCAAACTGGTTGTGACTGTGTCACTCCTGCTGCTGTGGTCCACAGCTGTAGGATCTTCTGCAGACATTTCCGAGAATGTTGTTTAATAACCCCTTGTGATGCTTGTGCACGACAATCAGAGAAGATTAGCAGATTCTAAAATCCTCAAACCGGCCAGTTCAAAGACACAATATAGACAACTTAATTGATCTTTCTTGGTGTTTAAATGTTTCCTTCTTTTACCAGATCATGTGAAACTTGCTTTCTTCCTTTTTTCCAAAGTATAAGCTTGTTTACAGATTGTGAGGACAGCATTTGGCCTGTCCAACACATCACAATCCTGTTTGCTTGTTTTGTTTTTTCTTGTTTTTTTTGCAGTTAAAAATGAGAGCATGAAGTCATTATACAAAAATCCATAGTGTACATTATTAAATCTACTTTGGACTTGCACAAAGTCATGATAATCAAGGTAATTGGTCCAAGCAAGTCATCGCAAGCCTGGGAACTAATTATGTCTTACCATCTCTCAATTCTTCTCTCATTAGCAGCATGTCTGGGTCAACCGTTTTCGAAGACGTACAAAATAGCTGCTTTGTCAGTGCTTTTTTTTCTCAATCTTTGTCTGTATTGTTTGATCCGCACTGCAACAACTTGGTGGAGTGAAGCTCAATGTTTGCAGCTGAATGCTGAAAATTCTGCATTATGTCTGCTTCATTTGTATCAACTGCAATTAATTTGTGAGACTGAATTCAATCATTTGTGAATCTTGCAAATTACCTGCTTCCGTTTCTAAGCTCAATTTGCCATCATGTCATTGTGTGGCGGAGAAAAAGCAAAGTCTGCATCTGATAAATTCAAGTGGGCGCGTTACAAGTGAGAGCCCCATTTTTCATCAGAGAAAATGCAACCAAACTGAAAACAGGATTTAAAAAAAATAAATAATACACCTTTTTATATTAGATTACTACAATGATAAAGAACATGTTTAATTTTTTGCTGCTTTTTGACTGTCTTGTTTTTTCAAGGTTAAAAACATGTTTCCCTGACGGTAAGAAGTAATTTGCAAGAATGGTAATTTGCATGAATTTAGAGGCAGAACATCATGAGTTTATTCGTTGAGGGCTCAGTCTTTCAGAGACTTGCTGACGTGTCACAGCTACATAGATTTGATCTTACTATCAGTATACCTTACATACTGTTAAATGTGGAAATGTGCATAATCCAAAGCATGACTTCGTTTTTTTCCGTTCTTGTGGAGTATGATCCTGCAGAGAATAGGCCATTATTTGCTTGGCGATGTTTTCCTGCTATAGACTATTACATTAAGTGAGATAAGCATTTGTGTGATTTCTATCTTAGGGCCTATCAAGCAGATATATGACTTGAACTGAATTAATGAGGGTACTGATAAATGCCTTGCTTATGCATATAATCCTCTGGCATGCCTACATCCTGCCTGTGGTGCACTGCATATTTCACCTCAAATCTGAGGTTTTTCTTTGTCCCCCTTTCTAAGTACATGCATGTTATACCTTGTAGGAGAACTAAAGTTCTTGAGCTTTGAATGATGTTCGCCCTTTAAGGATACAGATTTGATGTTGTCACATGTCCAAAAATGTCCACCGGCAAAATAATGAGTCCACAACAAGTCTTATATTCTGAAAGATGCAGAGTCAGCTGCTTAAAACGTTAGAAATGTCCATCAGATATGACTATTTTCAACATATTCTTTTTAAGGATTTCTCGGAGATGATAAGAATGCAGGAAGTTTAAGTTATTTGTGTGACTCAGTGTATGGATAACCTTCTGAAATCATGAAGTTCTGCTCCTCAGGCAAACAACCACAGGGAAGCAAAAAGGTCACCAGCTGGCTGTAGAGAGGATCTTGCAGCTTTGGGGTCCTGCACACATTTTCTCAAATTGCTGTGAAAAAAAGCATAGCCTATCCTCTGCGTTAATCTTATTCCCATTCACAGCTGTTGATGTGAAATATTGAGTGGTGAAAAGAAGGTGGACAGACGTACAGGATCCAAACATTATGAGTGGACAACACTGTCCATTCTTGAAGTTGTCAAAACAGAAAAGAAT